AGAGCTTGTTGATTTAACTCAATTAAATCCTCCCAAGTATCTCCGTAAACATGTTTCATTTCAACAGGACTACTTTGGTTACCATCAAGGTAAAAAGTTTTAATGTCAAAATAGAAATTATGTTTTTCAAAATAAGGTTCCAAGAGTGAAACAATATCAGCGGTGAAACAAGTGTAAGTAGTTTTAGGTACACATAATAATACATCGAAACCATCGAAATGAGTCTGATGTTTTAAAGTAATAAATTTATTTAAGTTCATAATATATTTTAAATTAAGTATTTCCCTTTACCGATTTTACGGTCTTAACCCATTTAAGGGTGCTAGAGTTATAACGATTCGAACGTTAATTAAACCAAGAACTCTTTTATAAAAAAAGGGTTAATCAACCAAATTATAAAAATTTCACATCATCGTACCCTTTTGGGATATTGAATTGATGTAACGGTTTAGTTTTTGGTGGATTATTAGGATTTGTTACCTCTTTAACTTTAATAGTTACGTTAGTAATATAAGAATAGGAATTAACCTGAGGGTCAATTTCCATAAGAGTTACCCATTCTTTCAACACTTTGACGGTGAAATCATCAGTTGAAAGATCTGTAACATTTCTTATTTTAACCCTAACCTGGTGTTTAGCTCCAGTCACATGATTTCTCACGGTAAAACTAAGTATAATTTTATATACTTTAGAATTCTGAATACTATCACCAGCAGAGAAAAATGCAAAACATAGTACAGATAGGTAAGCTAAAGCAGACATATCTAATAAAATCTGATGGATATCATAATTTTTAATATGTTCCATATCAGAGTTACTATAAGGTCTCCCTGTAAGAAATAGTCTCAGGTACAGACTTCTATTTCTCAATTCCATTTTTTGGAAGAGAATATAATCTCTGCACACATAATCTCTAAATACAATTAGATAAGAGGTTATTTTAAATAAACCGTCTCTTAAAATATTTGTAAAGATTGAATTAGATAGTTTTATATATGCTATTTTGACGAGGATAGAGGTATCTCTTGTATATCTTACCCAACATATTTAATCTTCTAATTCTTCTAATTCTTCTAATCCTCTTTCTCTATATTTAGAAAACATAATTAACTATTCTAATCTGTAAAGTGTAACCTGAGTAGCTATTCTATTCTTTATTTACATATTCTTACTTCTAACTATCAATTAATAACTTAACTATTAGCTTACTCTGTATTAACTTATTAATTCTAATATCTTTATAGTATATGTTGGATCTATCTGTTATTTAATGTTCTATTCATCTTACGTAGAGTGTCCTACCTATGTTATTACTAACTATTAATATCTTTATAAATCTATAATTACTTAATATTATAATCCTTTACTTATTAACCTAATGTATAACCTTACTTATTACCTCCTATTACTCTTCATTTACTTATTACCTTCTTATTAATTATCTATTCCTTTACTAAGACCTGCCCCTTGTAGTCAAGATATCTATAAGTTATAGTTGTTTTAATGGGGAGCCTACTTATTAAATCTATGTAGAGTATCCCTCCCTAGTTGTATCCCCCCGTAGGTTATGTAGAGTTATAGAGATAGAGGTATGGATGTAGTGTAGCTTAAATAGCTTAAATAGCTTAAATAGCTTAAATAGCTTAAATAGCTTAAAGATGTAACTATTGGTAAGAGTAGTAACCCTATAGGCGTGTTGTGTTCTCCAGATTTTAAATCAATAATTGAAAGTACGTATCGATAAGTAAATGTATCCTTGAATCTATTAAGAAGTATGTCTCCTCCCTGTAGTGTCTTATTAAAGTATGTATTTCTATTCTAACTAGAGTCTTGTATTAGTACCACAAGTAGATCTGTGTGAGTTATAATTCTTATTATTAATCTGTAGGTTATGTTACTCTCTAAACCTCTCTAGTTAATGTAAACAATATCTACCTCATATGTACCCTAGAGTAGTAAGAGTGTATCGCTGTATCCATAATTGTATCTGTATCTGTACCTTACCTTAGAAGATAAAACTATAATTTATGTAAATCTGTGTACCTTATGTTATGTAGTCTAACCTCCATCTTACGTATTGTATCCAACCTGAGTCTGTATTCAATAATTCGATAATTCGATAATTCGATAATTCGATAATTCGATAACTATAAATCTCCCTCGGTAAGTAATCAACTATGAATCCCTCAAATTGATTAATAATGTTATTATGAGTATGTATTCGGTAACTTAACTAATCTAAATAAAGGTACAAGTGTGTAATCCTACGGGGTACTATACATCTATAGAGATATTTACTTACTTGTACTATATATTATTACATTACTAACCTAAATACAGATGTATATACTAAACTACATAAATAGATTAGATTGTTAGATTAGTAATCTAAATAGATGATACATAGAGACAACAATACATAAATAATTAATAATATAACATAACCTACGGGGTACTATACATCTATTGGAATACTTACTAATAAGTATAATTTATAGTTACATATCTAACCTAAGAGATACATTACACAGGTATACTTACTAATTTAGAAGATTAGAGTTAAAATATATGAGTCCGAATCACACGAATAACACGAATAACACGAATAACACGAATAACAGATAGGGTATTATAACATGGAGTACTAGAGGACAATTGGGTTTAACAGGATAAATAAAAGCAATGACTAGATATCAAGCTACTCAAAGTCTCAAAGTAGAGATATAGAGAAAGGGTTAAAATTTATTTAATGTTACTTAATTTAGTAATATACATTCTTACTACTTGGTTATATGTAAATAATGGTAATACATATTTTGAAAATACATAAATTAAAGCCAATAAAGTTAAAAATGAAAATGATAATTGATTTATAAAATAAAATGGTACTAATTGTGGCATACTTTGTTATTATATTTTTATATACTCTTCTGATAAGGTGTTTGAAAGAGCTATTTCTGTAAAGTTTTACAAAGGCTTATACGCCGATTTTATGAAATATTTTTAGTTGGGGTTTGTCTTGTTGACTATACGTTTACTTTATTTTCCACAAAGGGTTACACTATTTTTTTCACATGAATACGAACAAAGAGACTTGAACTCTTAAGGAATTACTTCCACTCCTGCTTAAGAGGAGATTGTTTACCAATTTCAACATGTTCGCTTTGAGAAATATTTGAATTTTTGAATATTTGAATTTTTGAATTTTTGAATTTTTGAATTTTTGAAAATAGGGTTAAAATAAAAATTAAACAAATTAAAACATCGCACTTTTTGTGGGTTTTAGTTAAACCTGTAATTATTTGTTAATAATCTTACGTAGTTTCTGCTGACTATACTTATAGTATGTTATTTTGAGGCACAGAACAGGAGGGGTTACTATTTGGGTTTTAATTATCTAAATATATGGCTTAATCTTACAGTAAAATTAAATGCACCTTTTCTAGATTTATCTGTAAATGTAGATATTTGAGTTACTTTAGTATTTAATCTATTAAAGTTACCTCTTTGAGCACGTTTTACTGTTAATCTTGGTATTATTTTTTCATTTATTGGTCTACCTGCTAATTTAATATTAATTCCAGATATACCTGAAGGATATGAAGAAGTTAAAGTACCAATAGTTTTAGTATTATTATTTCCCAACAACGAAGCAATTTTATTTTTATTAATTTTATAAATTTTCATATTTTTAAATAATCTAGAAGTTAATTTTATAAATTTGTTATTATAACTTTCATTATTTAAATAATTTACTAAGATTTCACTATCTTGATATGGTTGATATAATCTTACTAAATTTAATTCAATTTCAGTATTAAATAGTTTAGTTAAATAATCAATAAGATATAAAAATTTGTTATTATAAACATTAGTTATACTGATTTGTTGAGACCCTTCGGGGCCTAACTGTGTTAAATTATTATGTGTTGTTGATTTGATTAAATAAAATAAATCTATTATTATTTTAGTTTTTAGCGCTTTATTTGATTTTTTATCTTCCAAGGTATCTGAAGTTGAAACTATATTAAATCTAGGTTTACTAATTAAACAACCTTTTGTTAAAAAAGCTATTCTTAACATTTGAGCTGCTTTTTCCATTTTTAATAATATTTTATTAGATTTATTAGATTTATTAAAGAAATATAAACTATAACTACTATTACTTAATTTTAAATTAAATCTTGTTAACATATTTAAATAATGTCTTATTCTGTATGTATAGGCATTTCCTTCTATTAGACCATTGTTAAATTTAGGTAATGTTTTTATTATATAATTAAAATGATTTTTTAAAGTTTTTAAAGACATATGCATATTACCTACTGGTACATATCTTAAACTATTATTTGGTTTTGTTATAGTTTTATCTAAAGATGTTGGTTTTGTTATAGTTTTTTTATTTGTTATTAAGTTTGTATACATTTCTACTGATTTTAAAGTTATTGAATCACCAGAGATTCCTGTTAATACTGAACTTTTTACACTCGGTAATATTGATTGGGTTACGGTTTTATTTAAACCTGAGGCTAAACCTCTATTGTTATTGTTCATCTTTTTAGCTATTTTGTTTTATTTTGTTTTATTTTGTTTTATTTTGTTTTATTTTGTTTTATTTTGTTAACTCACCCAAATATATTACATATTCCAATCTTTTCACAAGGATTGTTAAGGCTAACTTTTCCTTTTAAGGGTTTTAAGTTGATTTAAGAATCCACTAATTCAAAATCTATATCGTGCCCGGTGACTCCACAATGAAGGAGAGCCACCACGGACCCTTAGAAATAGTTTTTACTACTTACTTTACTTAAGTAAATTGAATGGGATTAATACGTACTAATGTTAATATTACTAATATTAATTTGTAAAGGCTAAACTGTATAGCTGTATAATTAATTAAACATTAGACTCTTTTAGAGCAAAGCACAGGGAACCCAGGCTTGTATTTTTAAATATTTTTAAATAATTTAAATAATTGAAATATTTTAAATAAAATAATGTGTGAATATCTTAACATAAAGTCTTGTGACCAATTAGTAATGCTAAACTAAATACTTCTCAGTACTTTCATTTGCATCCTATCTAAGAAATGTTCTATTTCTTATCTTATTGATTAGTTAAATTTATTTCAATTTATAATCGTTAGTATCTAGGGGGTAGATTCTTGCTTGAGATACTTTCAGCACTTATCTACCATGTTTGTGGCTACCCAACTGTGCCAAAATTTATATATAACATACTTTAAATATATTATATTTTTAGGTAACTATTATAGTTTTGTTATTATAATGATACGTTTCAGTTGTATCTTAGTTACCACATCAAAGAGACTGCTTTGCAGTTATAATTGATTTCAACAATTGGTACACTATGGAAACACAGCCTATTGATCCTTTCGTACTAGAAGGTCTGCCCCTTTTTACTAATTATACCTCCAGAAGATAGGGCATGGCGATCAGATTTATCATAAAATTAATAAATTAGTCTATTTTTCTTTTCGTATTCATTTTATTTTTAATAATAAAGCTAAGTCTCGAGAATTAAGACCAATTGTAAAAACTGATCGTACACTCCAACCTAACATAGAATTTTTATTTTTAATAACTAAAACTTGAAAACTACCTTCAGCGTCGCAGAACCCACTCAAAAAATATGGATTTAATTGAGAAGAGTTAACGCTAATTGTAGAAAAATTGAATTTATTTTATTTGTTAGAAAGGATTCTGACTTGATAATTTCTTTCGAAACCCATTAGAGTACACCTTAAGCGAATAGTTTGAATTTTACTATCCACCAACTACCGTCTACTCGTTGCTCTTTTACAGTACTAGTTAATAATACTGATTTAGATCCGCGATAACCCATTTCATTTTCACTCATCTTATGACTTGTTACCGTACCCAGGTAATTATTCTGGCCACTTATAACCTTGCGGATATAGCTTGGTACCATAAGCTTTAGGGTGTCCCCGGAGTTTGATAGTTTTAGGCACAGTAGAGAGATCCTACCTCTCTTAGCACCATACTGACTCCTTATATGTTATTCGCAGTAAATTAAAATAACTGCTTCTAAAAATTTCTATTTAGTTCGGACTATATCTTATCTTAAGAATATTAAGACGGAAACGTATAGTCTCTGAGGATCCTACTTTTATTAAACTAATAATTTGGTTCCCTGCTGATTGTCCATTGTTATCCTTAAGATTGTTACTTTAATAAGTACTTAAGGTTTTAGGAGTTTCCAGCATATAGTTTCCTTTGACGACGCAAGTCAGTTTTATTTACATTTTTTATTTCTACGTCGTATTAACAATCATGTTATCGTAGCAACACTTAATTACTACTTCAGTAATTCACACTACTGTTCAGACTATGTCATCATTAATATTTTAATCTTTTTAATCTTTTTAATTAATGCCGGATTCTCGTGTCAGGTTTATTGTTAATGATTCTCACCTGTTAGTCGTTGAACCTTCTTAATATACTAGATAAAATTTTATCTATCACTCTATTAAGCTTGGCTGCAAATTAACTTATTAAAGTCTTCCTTGCAATTCTTCCGGTTTTCCTCTAATTTAAATCCAATAATTGAGTTTAAACTCTTTAAAAATAAGAGGGGGCTTAATACATAAGGATTTAATTTTTTAATCTAAATTTATAAACCTATAGTCAGAATCTTTATTACTTTGGAGTAGAGTTATTTTGGTAAATATTACTATCACCTAACATTAAACCAATTAAGATATACCCCGCAAGGCCGATTTAAAGGTAAAGAGATAGCATTTTAATATTTTTATTCAATTATCAAATTATCAAATTATCAAATTATCAAATTATCAAATTATCAAATTATCAAATTATCAAATTATCAAATTATCAAATTTAAAGTTAAAGTTGAAGTTGAATTAAATAGTGTCTAACATGATTTAGATTTTTAGTAATAAATCTTTAAATTACTTATGTAATTACTTTCTCACTTTTTAGTTTAGTAAAAAGGATTGTTAAGGAAAGTTCATTAACCCAATTCACGTACCCTTTTAATGGGCGAACAGCCCAACCCTTCCAAGATTCTTCACCCGGAGGATAGGATGAATCGACATCGCAAACCTCTTAACTTTTCAGTCAAGTTTAGACTATATCTTCATCCAGCATAAAGAATACAATTTATGTAGCTTCTGGATGTTGGCGTGTAGTCGTTGAGGGTTTATATAGCTTTAACAGTTGCTTTACCTATTCTATATAACTTCCCTGCTGATTGTCCGATCTTTAAGATTATTACTTGTTTAAGTACTTAAAGCTATTAGGATGTTCCAGCATATAGCCAACTTCTATCTAGATATTAATACCTAGACTCCCCGATTTTTTATTATTTAAAATTATTCAAATATATTTCATAATAAATTATCTTCATCACTATCAAAAAAGTCTTTGGTATTTTGTTTAAAAGACTTAGGTTGATCTACATTTTGATCAGATTCTATAACAGTAATTGGATTATTAACATGAATTTTATAAAGCATAGACTCATGTAGGTATGGTGTTAATAATTCTTTATGTTCTTATTCTTTTTTTATATAAACTCTATGGTAAATATCTCCGTAGTTGTTTTTTTTCTTATGAATAGAAGTTATCATACCAAAATTTTGGTGTAACATATCTCTAAGTGTTTCCACCAGATCAGCGTTAAAATTATCTGTACATAAAGTTACACCTGCCTGGAGCCCTCTTTTTACACGTTGACCGTCATCCATAATCCAATAAGCTAAAGATCTGTGTGTAAAATCCGACTTGATATTAGAAGGTACTATTTTTTTGTTATTTTCATCTAAAAACATTTCAGCTATTGGTCTTAAATCTGTTAAAGATTTAGTTCTAAAATAATGTGAAGAATTCCTACTTTTCCTACTTTACCTACTTTTCCTACTTTACTTATATGAGAGTCACCCAAGAGTGTACCCATTAATAATTCAATTGTTGATTTTTTCATTTTTAGTTTTTTTAATGTAAATTTCCCTTTTTATGAAGAAACTATTCTGTAATAAGTTATACAAAATAAATATTTAAGTTAAATTGTTTTTTTTACTTAAAGATTAAATGAGATATTTTTGATTAATTAGCTTTTGTTGTTAGCTAATTGATTTGTGATATTTTTTCAAGGTGCCAAACAGCCGGGACAATGTGTACTCTCGCCGGCTATCAGCCTGTTCAATTATGTTAACATAAAGGCTCTTTATCCCTTATTTCCATTTTTCACAAAATGGTTCAGACTATGTCATCATTTTAAATTAGTTAATTAGTTTGCTTATTTTTAGCTCATTTTTGATCCCTTTGGGCTATATACTAAATTTTAAATGTCGGGCGCTCTTGGGAAGATTATTGTTGGTATTACTCACTTCCTAGTCGTTGAACGTTCTTGATCCCTCTTTTTCAAGATACCGAATCAAGCTTCGCTGCAAATTGTCTTATTTTATTAAGATATCCTTGCAATTCACCCAATTTATTACAAATATTTTTCAATATTAGAGGACTAATAGGTACTTAATCCCTAGCGTAACTTTTATCAAATGATCCCCGTCTATTCCATATTATAGCGAGGGGTCACTATGCCCTACTTACGTATCTGTTCGACTTTTAGGTCTTACAGTTAGGTATGCTTACCGCCATTACACTATACACAACTTTTACACTAGTTGATTGATCTCCATTCAATTTCTAGCTATACCTTATTAAATATTTTTATACATAAATTATGTTTAATGGTTAATTGTTAAAAATAAGGAAATCCTTTATTAAATAATATTAATACTTTAATGTAAAGAAAATCAATCATTTAATACCATCACGATTTCCGTCGTTAGTTTGATATATTTTTAAATATATTTAGATTTGTTTTAATTCTGTGGGTGTACTTTGCTACTTTATTAAAGACGACCGCCCCAGTCAAACTGCCAATTAGTCAATTATCCCTAATAAGTTTTAGTTACACGTTTAGAATAACCCTAAAGGATTACAACCATGCGGAGCACAGTTTATTAGACGACCAAAACATCTTAATTTTTAAACGTGTTCTTTAACAACAAAGGTAAACAAGGACCCAATTTTTATCTGGAGGTTTCCACTTATACTTATCTTTGTTAAAATAAATATAACGTCCTTCGACATCCCTAATCACTATTGTTAAAAATTGTTCTAGATCATTGTATTAACTAAATACAGTAGAAGCTGCATCAATTCTTGTTATCGTAATGACTCTTTATTCATTACTTCAATAATTCACATTATTGTTCAGACTATGTCATCATTAATAATATTTAATATTAATGCCGGATATTCGTGTCAGGTTTATTGTTAGTGATACTCACCTGTTAGTCGTTGAACCTTCATAAATTTTAATCTGTTTTCTTTTCCCTTTCTGTTAAGATACCACATCTCTATGGTTTTCAGGTATAGGTGAATACAGACTTCACTAATTTATGCTTGGCTGCTAGTTGACTACTTTATATTTTTATCTAGTAGTGTTTCTAGCAATTTATCCGATTTATTTTAATGAAGACCCCTACAACTTTTGTCTTTTTGTCTTTTTTCCTTGTTAGGTTAAGGGTCTGTTGAGGCTCTGCCTAGTTTTACAACTTTGACATCCTCTAAGAACTGTACGTGCGACTTTCATCGCATACAGCTCAAGCATTAAGTTTATTTTTATTCTTAAATTTGTTTTAGGAATTATTTAGCCTGCACTGGAGGCCTCTTAACACTAATTCAAAGTCAGCATCCTTTCAGATTAGTTAAGTTTAACTTATCCTTGTCATTACAACAAGGCTTTAGCTTTTTTGAATATCCTTTACCCACTAACAGTTATTTATCTTCGCAGATAAACCTCCAATTCTAGATTATTAATTCAAGTTCTTGTAAATTGGTTATTATTGGGCTTACCTAGTTTTTACTATAATACTTTAATGACACCCTTAGAACTCCACTATACGTTATGAGACATTTAGACCCATTAAGAAAAACACGGGAACGTCTTTCTACAATCTATCATACCGCTTCTTACGTGAATTCACATTACATTGTTCATAGGCATCTAGCTCACATATGGTGCGGGGCACAATTCTATTTTTTTGTTCACTTTTCCCAAAGTGTTGAATCTTTTCATATAAACAGGCTTCATGATCTAGGATTACTCCGAAAACATGCTGTTTGAGCTCAGATTATGGGCTATCTGGTTGGTTTACACAACATTATTATAATAAACTTAGCTAGTCGCATTTTTATTTGTCTCCAGAATTTATTTTAGTTTCCCGTCCCACTGGAGGCAACGAGCATCTGCACTCGTAATTCAATTTCACTGAGCAAGTTGTAGAGACAGTGAGACCTTCGTTACATTATTGATACCGGACAAAAATTATTTGCCAATTTATTTCGCTACCTTAGGCTTTAATCTATTATCTTTCAATAACAGCCGGACTATATCATCAAATAACTATAAATTATTTGCTCGATTATCTAGTCTCTGAGGGCTATCTACTACGTATATCTTTATTTTGTTTATTTAGATTTTGTGATATTCCCTGCTGATTGTCCATTATTATCTTTAAAATTGTTACTTTAATAAGTATTTAAAGCTTTAGGATATTCCAGCACATCTTCGAGTTTATTGAGGACCCTATAGGTTTTTATTCAAATCCTCATAGTTAAGCACTTTACAAAAAAAATAACAAAAAACGTTTAAGATCCTAAATTTAAATTAATAAAACTACCAAGTGCGAAGCACCCTTAAACTTTGGATTTTATTTTAATCACTAAAGAAGAAGGTTCGTTAAAGTTTACTCCTTTTATTTTTAATTAACTAAAATAACAAAATAAACAAAATCGAGGGTGGGTAACTCTCCCCAACTTAAGATTTTACTTTGATTTATTGTTACTAGTTTCAAAGTTGTAGCGATAATTAAATTAAATTTTATTTTTTAGATTTAGTAGGTTCTATGACAACCAAAAGGTATACTAAATCTGAAAGGTCGTTCCTTTCTCAACCTATTATTTTTTTTTGTAGACTATTTCTTTTTACTCCACGTATAGTCGTTGAGGATCCTACTCTTGTTTTTATTTGTTATACAATTTGGTTTCCTGCTAATTGCCTTTTTTATAGTTATAAACTTAAATTTTAACTTCAGTAATTTAAACCGTGAGTATTAAGCCAACAAAGGGATCCTAGCATACAGTGGATAGTGTTTCTACTAATTAAAAAAAGCAAGTTCACAAAATAGCTTATTACTAAAATTTTATAGCATAACACGCGGCCTTAACTTGACCGCTATTAACCAGACTTTCAATCAGTAACAGTTACCTATTACCTTTTTTATATTAATGGCATCGAGCAAATTTCAGAACGTATACTATGACTTTCATCATTGCACATTCTTGTGTTTTTAGGAAACAGTCGAGATCTCCTATTTTGTGACACCAAATTAACATTAGAACTTTGGAAAATCTTATTTCTTTAAATTTTTTCTATTTCATTTTACCTGGCCCCGAAGGGACAAATTTTATTTACTTTAGTTGATTTCTGAGAATTATAAGTCAAATATACTTGGTAGAATAATTGATTCTATGTTTATTGGTTCCTCTTATCGCCTAGCTTTTGAGGACATCTTGCCGAGTTCCTTTACAACTTTTAGCTCTACGCCTTAGTATTCTCTACTTACGAACCTGTGTCGGTTTAGGGTACGGTAGTTAAGCTTCACTTAAATTTTACTTTTGAAAACTTCTAAGTTAATAAAGATTTACAAAAAAACAAATTAAAGAATTTAAGCTAGCTGATTAGCAATAAAATTTTATGCTTTACAGCTGAACCCGAAGGGACTTAAGTGAGATTATTTTCTTGGCCTTATCTATCCAGTTAGGCTTTGTTTCACTTTCTCATCAGCTTTCACTTTGGTTGGTGCCTTAGAGACCCGCATTTCACATAAGTTGGTTTAAACCTTACTTACAACCCTTTCGTATTCGGCGAGAAGTATTATATCTTCTTTTTACGTTACTCATGTCAGCATTCTCTCTTCAGTTCGTCAATCGCAATGAAACACTGCGTATCTTACGTTTCTGAATGTTCTTCTACCTAGATTATAAATAGATAATTTTTACTTTTTTTATTTATAACCAACACAATATCGGTTGATTATTTAGACCCGTTAAATTTTCGGTGCTACAATCTAAAGAGCTGATGCGTTGTTACAACGTTCATAAAAAGTAGTCACTTCCAAGCTCACTTTTCAGCTGCATACAATATATAACATCCTTAATTTCACTTAATAATCATTCGGGACCTTAATATGTGTTCTCGACTGTTTTCGTCTTGACTACTCAACTTATCATGAATAGTCTGAATATCTAACAACAATTTATGTACTTCCGAGTTTAAATTCCATTGGTAAGATTTATTAGATCCCCACAACCTAAACGCATAATAGTAAGAGTTACTTTAATTGTTTGGAATTTCGTGCTGTACCTCCATAAATCTTAATAGATGTCATACTTACATATGTTTCGAAGAATACCAGCTAGCACTAGATCAGATTGGCATTTCCAATTTTATTTGTTATCTATATTTCACAATATAGTTCAGACTATACCTTCATCTCTACTTTGACTTTAGGTTAATTTATGTTAATTATTTGTTAATTATTTGTTCAAAATATTTTTGTGCTAACCACCTTATTACTATCAGATTGAGGTTAACTAGATATTACTGTTTTCGTACCATTTGTAATATTTAGTTTATTTGTGTCCGGGGAGACCAGCCTCGCACCCGCGCTGTAATTGTAAATTGTTATAAAGAATTTTACTTTATGTTAACAGCAGACTTGAAATATTTAGATACATAAAATAACCATGGTCAATTGAAACTATAGAGAGCTAGCGTGTTGCCTTATATATAATATAAAGCCTTAATTTTTAAATTAAAGTCGTTACAGGGTTGTATCTAGCTACTTACAATTAGTAAACCTCCTTCTAAGTATAAAGAAGAAGAACTTAACTGATTATAAATTTTTTGTTTCTAGAAAGATACAACTTCCCACGGTATTTCCTTATTTTTATTAAGGTTTCCACCGTTTTGAGCTAGTTTTTAAAAAGAGAATCACTTCTCAGTGCGGCAAAACGCTCTACCGCTTACCAAAACTCATCGGAGAATTCTGCAACATTCACCCGTTCGATCCTTAAAATCTGGTCTTGGCAAGATCATCTTAGCTTCGGGTCTAATAAAAATAACTTACCCAACACCAATATTTAGCAAATTTTAACTTATTAATAATATTAACTATTAAGGAATAAGGTAATACTCTTCTTATCTTTTTATAGAATAAAAATATTGTAATTATACAATTTTAATTATATAGGTACTACACTAAATTGGTTTAGTCGCTTTCGCTAAGGCTTTTAACCTTGCTATTTCTATTAACTTGCTGCATTTATACCAATATTTTCATATTGGATTAGACTATACCTTCAACTCAACAATATTATTAGGAAATTTACTTACCGATTTCCGCGGTTATACTTAGATTTTTCCATTAATACCTGGAACTATTGAGTGCTGACGTGTTACAATACATAATATCGTCTCATCTTTCGATTCAGTCGTTACAGGGCTAATAAAAAGTGTACGTTTAAATACTTATTTTTTCCTTCGATTTATTAGCTTCCCACGGTTTCGCCTTAGATTTTTTTCCTTAGGATTAACCGTTAGCATAACAATTTTATTATTATACCGACCTGGTAAGGTCATGAGTCAGTTTTACAAAAAACTTCACAGTTTTTCTGGGCAAGCATTTCACCCAATTGGAATAGGTAGGCCCTCACAGGCTTTCCCCTCCTAAGAACCGTACGTGCGACTTTCACCGCATACGGCTCAAGCAACAATTCGGACGGAGAGTTCGCAAACTGCTCCCGCCTGGCTCAATTTAGATGTTATGAGATGTTTTATTTGATTATTTTGTTTTTAATTTTATTCGCCGCACCATGAGTGATGTTTTGATGGCAGATTTGATGTAGAGGTTGTATGTTACTCATAGTGTATTTACCTCCTTCTTTCACCGGAATAATATGATGTAGTTCCACATTTTCACCATTATGTAGTGATTCCTGACAAACAGGACATAGATGGTTATATTTTTTGTATATAGCTTCTCTAAATTTGGCAGAACTTTTCTCAATTATTCTTTTGTCAAAATAAATTTTGTCTTCCAATAAATAAGGATTTCTGCTTAATTTCAACAGTGGATGGACTACAGGTTTTACTTCAGCTATGTTTAGAATTACCTCACGGTTTTCTTTCACTTTATCGGCTTTGTTTACTCCCCATACCCATTTATGTCTTGATCTTGTGTTACCCTGGACTATGTATTGTTTTACAGCTTTTATTATTGAGGTTTCAGGGTGTTTCCTACTTACCCAATTAATCATTGATGTCCATAGGTAGTGTCCTATTTTTATAAATGTTGCTTGAGAGTGGTAGGAGATTTTAAAGTAGTTGGCCCAACCTCTTAATACTGGATTTAGTTCTTTAACAAGTATTCCTATCTCCGGTTTGTTAGATCCTATAATCATTTTGATTTTAGAAATAAGAGATTTTATGGATTTGTTAGAGGGTTTTATTATCAGTACTGTTGGTTGATTGGTATGATTATTTAATCTTGGATTGAAAGGTTTTCTCGATATGTTAAACCCAAGGAAGTCAAAACCTTTTTGTATTGTTACAATTTTTGTTTTAGCTTCTTTAAGTTCAAGACCTCTGATAGCTAAGAATTCTTGGACAATTTCTTTAACGTGGTGAAGGATTTCTTCATTTATTCCAGTTATGATCATATCATCTGCGAATCTACAGACGTAAATTTTGGGTCTACCTCCTTTAACGTTTTTGTTTAACGGGTATACTTCGTGTATAGCGGCTTCTACTCCATTAAGTGCAATATTACATAAAGTTGGTGAGATAACTCCACCTTGAGGAGTCCCTGCATCTGTGCTATATTTGTGTCCTTCAAAGATGAATCCTGATTTTAACCATTCCTTTAATACATGTTTGTGACAAATTGGCGTGTTTGCTAATAGGAAGTCGTGGCTGATTTTATCCATGCATTTTGCTATATCTGTTACCAGGATATATTCCGGTGAGTGTGTTTTATCCATCCAAGATCTGATATATGCTATCGCGTCGTGTTGGGATCTGCCTTTTCTGAAGCCGTAGCTATTAGGGTCGGATCTAACTTCTACAACTGGATCTATGGCCAAGTGGTATACAGCTTGAACTGCTCTATCCATTATAGTTGGAATACCAAGTGGTCTCAATTCTGTTGAGTTGCTTTTGGGTATCATTACTCTTTTTAACGGAGAGCTTTCATAGGAATTATAATCTTTTGTTATTAAGCCTAGTTCTTTAATAGCTTTGAATCTGTCAGCTGGTGTTAGCCATGTGACGTTATCAACGCCTGGTGTTTTACCTCCTTGGCTAGTTACCACTCTTCTTATTGCAAGCGCTTTACCTTCAAAACTGGTAATTAATTTTTCTTGTAATCTATAAACTTCATTCATATTGTTCTTCATCGTTGCCTTTACAATTTTGTCTTGTAGATCTTGAACTCTAATGTTAACTTCTTTCCAGTTAATTTCTTGCCATCCTGTGGCTTTTATACTTAATTTAGTAGTTTGATTTTTGCTGTTATTTCTCATATGCAGGTGATATGTAGTTCTAACTAATATTAAATTTGAATTTATGATAACTGGGGTCGCTAATTTCGAGTTTGTTTCAACCGGCTCATCCAATATCTACCTTTTTACGATTAGGTATATCCTTTAGGACTGAATATATCACCGGCTAGTTACTTCAAGCGTCAGCGAATTGCTGATACTGCACATGCCCTTATTTAAATTTAAAGTTTGACTATACGCTGCTTTAGTTACTTACATAACATTGTTATAAAGATTGTCACCATATCCAAGTTGGCACCCTTTCAGGTTAGTACAAATTGTACCTATAAGGTCCCTTCTTTTGGGTCCTTCATTCGCTTTTTGGATGTTCTCATACCTCCTACCCGTTATACACATTTCCATCGAAACTTTATAGTGCACCTCTGATATTGGTCATTTCCCTTTTCTGGATTATAACTTATCAGTGGATATGAGGCTTACCAAGTTCCCAAATTATCACCGTTAAATACCTTTTCTTTCAAATTGTTTAGGCTTGTTAGACGAACAGAGGTACATACTTTACCCCGGTAGTTGTTTGGACCATAGAATTTGCCAGCATAAGAAACAAATTCCAACTACTTATATTTGAGCTTGCTTGCGCTTACCTAATATCACCTTTTACGGAGCCTAATTTTACATATGTTCACTTTCGTTTACCACGTTCGGTATTTTCCCTAGCACTTTACTGTTACATTGTCCTCTGAGCTTCACACCCGAAGATCACTCCTCACGCATGTCAGAGTAGGGACAACTCTATGGTCAGAGCTGGTGGAATTTCACCACATTGATAATAAGAGCTTCTTGTCGCACTTATGCAAAAGGTACGCTGTCATTGTTTTCACAACTTCAACTGCTTATAGAGTTACTAATTCAAAGTTTATTTCATCATTAATTATATAATCTTTTTCATTTGGTTCCTTTACAGTACTATTCACTATCGCTAAATTTATAATACTTAGCCTTAGAGGATGGTTCCCCTTTATTCTGACAAGTTTACTCTCATCATACTTGATTTTTTGGTTGAACTACAGGACTATGGTTTTTACCTTCTTTGGATTTCATTCTTTGGTTTTAGGCTGGTCTGATTTCACTCGCCATTACTCTCAGAGTCTCGGTTGATTTCCTTTCCTTTCCTTACTGAAATGATTTACTTCAGGAAGTAATTAATATAAAGGTTTCCCTTAGGAACGCCGTTTCTTTACTTGTGTAATTTTATTAATCTTGCAATTTTTTAATTCCAAATAATTAATTTAATAACATCGCAATTGGTTACAATGCTTATACCGAAGTATTAATACACATACGGCATTTGGACTATGCCTCCTTATTTATAAATTTGCTAATTATCCTTAATAACTCCTTTAAAATACTTTATTATTTAAAATAATATTTGATGTTAGTTTCTATATTACACATCGGTACTTATAAAGCATACAGCTCAAATTTTGTTTTTTTCTCTCGGAGGGGTATATCAAAAATCAAATTAAAAATAATTAATGAGGAGGTAACTGGTATTCATATTTTTATTTACATCTATGATGAAAATTAATTATTTAAACTTTATATTTGGATATATATTTAATTTGTTTAATGAGATGAAAACAAATCTTAATATAATCACTAAAGGATTAATTTTATCAGCAGAGAGTATTATCAAAGTTTTAGATGGTATTATCGTAGTTTTAATTGGGATAATGTTGTATGTTTACCTATTTGCATTATTTGCATCGTTAGTTATGTGTATAATAGGATTTTTAATTATGTCATTTATTTTTATGATGAAAGTTTATTTTATGAAAAATAATGTAAGTAAATTTACTCAATCTAAATATGGTAAATTATTATTTAAAGCTGATTGGGGAAATATTCATCTGGTGGGTATTGCAAAAATTATTGCTATTTATTTTATTAATTTAAAATATGGGCAAGGATGTGATCCTAGAATTTTATTTATTTGTTTAACTATTTTTTATGTTGTATTATTAGTAATTTATTCTAATTGGTTTATAGAAGCAATATTTAATATTCAACAAGGTATATTTATTATTTATGAAGGGCTTCAAAATTGGAATAATTCTAACTATAAAAATAATATTAATCATAATGTTGATAGTAATGTTGTGGGGAAAGAGGATGCAATTAGATTTAAAAATGTTATCGTGAGAAAAATCATAGAGCGCTCCGCGCCCACAAAAAAACAATATTAATAATTCAAGAAAAAATAACATAAATATAAATAATCAAATTAATAGCAATATTGTAGTAAATAATAATTTAAATGGTTATGCGGGGGTTATAGATTCTAATTTAGTGAATATTGCTAATAAAACAACTAGTATTGTGGTATATGATTTAAATAATAATAATAATAATTTAAGTAATATTATTAAATCAGCAGTTATTAATGCTAACTCTAATAATAGTTTAATCAAAAAAATAGTTTAAGTTTAAACAAAAATAATAGTTTAATAATAAATAATAATATTTTAGGGGAATTAGTTAGCTTATTAAATGGAGGTAAAATAAATAAAGTTAGTGCTAATATTAATAGTAATATGATTAGAGGTTATGCTACTATTAGCAATCTAGAATTAAATATTGAACATGGTAAAAAACTACAACCGCATGAAAAAGAAATGGTTAAAAATATTATTGGTGGTGTTGGATATAAAAGCTATAATAATTTATTTGAAGTGGGGAATGTTTTAGAGTTATCAAAAATAAATACTCTATTAGATGAATTTTTCGAAGTATATCTAGTAGATCCTGATGATTGTACACTTTTAATAATGCATAGAAGATGGCTGAATGTTAATGAATTTACTACTGATTTAGGTACTGTAGCTCAAACAATTGATAATGATCTGGCTAAAGAAATTTATAGTAAAGATAATCATAAATTAGCTGTACAAAGAAGAATAGAGAATGAACAAGTTGGAAGATATAATGGTATATTGATGGATAATTATGGTGAAGAAATTATAGAGGTTGAGAATCTTATAACTCCAAATGAAGAAATAACAGATGGTGGTAGTGTGGTAGGAAATGGCGAAGAAAATATAAAAGCTGAAGGAAATGTTTTAGGTTATAAAATATTTGAGGATGAAGGTATTGTAGTTAAAGATATTGTTACAGATGCAGGGGATAAAGCTTAATTAATTACAGTGAGAGAAATTTAAGATGGTAAATTAGTACTAGATGATTATAATGATTTTATTAAATGGAAAGATACTAAAACAGCTACAGGTTTTAAACGTGAAATGGATAATGTTACAAAATATTTTAATCAAGACGGTAGAATTGAATATACTGATGGTGAATATTACTTTCCAGATTACCCTGTGACTGATTTTGAAGCAGATGAAAAATTAGGTGCAATTGACTTTGAGACATTTGGTGAAAAGGGTAGTGCTTCGCACCCAAAATGTTTATGCCGGTGGTTGGTGTACAAAGCATTTTAATAATTTAACAGTAAAGGATTTACAGTTCCATGTGGATACAGTCCTAGAGAAGTTGTATAATTACAAAACAATAGGATTCGTAAACAATAGTATACTAAGAGATAATGATATTTACTCAATCCTAAGAAGTGTATATCCTAAATACAGAAGTATATTCACCAAAACAAGTGTACAAGTAATGTTTGTGTTTTGTGTCCCTGATAAATTATGCTAATTGGGATAAACAGATAAACGAGAATGAGTGGTAAAGATTTCATAGACAAATACGGTGATAACCTAATAAAAAGTTATACTTCTCTAAAAGTTAAATTCCAGTTCCCTGCATCTGTAATGTATCCTAATCTAGCTGTTAGACTAGATAAAGGTTCAGTTATGTATCCATTATCAGGAATAAGTTTTTGTACTGGATTAGAAATATTATTAGCACACAAACTGGGATGTAAATTCACTGTGCTTGGTGGGGTCATATATTCCTTTCTTAAATACAAAAGAAACTGAACTAGATGCATATCACAAATTATCCTCTTAGATGCTAAATTATCTGTAAATAAAGTATTATCAAAGTTATATCATTATAAATCAATAGGGTTTGTAAACACTTATGGAAATGAATGAGAGAAATTTTATTTCATTTGTAAAAAGAGTCTACACAGGTTTTGATACTGAGTATAATACAGTGATTAAACTGATTTATTAGGTTTAACTATCCACACTGGGGTATTCATTCGTGTTAAACAGTTTAAAATAGATTGGACAATTACCAAACATCATGGAACAACTCAGGAACCATTAACCTCAAGTCTACTTTATGCAATAGTGAAGTTAATAAGACTGGTAAATGATAAAGATGATAATAAAATTAGTAAATTAGTAAATTAGTAAATTAGTAAATTAGTAAATTAGTAAATTAGTGGATATATTTTAAAGTAATCCAAGTATAGAAGAACTAGAAGAACTAGAAGAACTAGAAGAACTAGAAGAACTAGAAGAACTAGAAGAACTAGAATTGAAGGGTGATAAATTGTTGAGATTTGTTAAAGCAATTGAAACCTTCTGACTTTTTCAATTTATATTATGATTTGACTACTGATCTTCCATTCCTTTGCCAACTTAATGGATATATCTCTAAATATAACAAAAGATTTGTTAGTGAAGATTTAGATCCAATTTACCCAATTGTTAAATGAGGTGGGAATTGATACCAATAGAACAAGAATAAGAGTTCAAGTGTATTTATTAGCTCATTTCACTACAGCAGATATCAGTTCAAGGTAAAGATTTTATAGTAAAATATGGGGAGCCTACTTTAATACGTTAATTAGTAGTAGAGTAATACCCTATAGATGTAATATGTGTAAGTAGTATGTAGGTTCCAGTAACATTTGTAAACTCTGTATCCGAATGTTGTAGTAAACCTCTGAACTCCTTACTTACCAAGTGTATAGTAATTTTTATGGAAAGTGGATGTAAGTTGTATTAGTAAGATAGAGATGTAGTACTGTATAGATAAATATAGATAATATAGATTGTATATGTCCTGTATAAATGTATAATAATGTGTATAGGAATATTACATTAATATGATAGATATGTAGTATTGAGTATATAATTATGTAGAGTATATTAATGATAATAAGATATCTATAATAATAGGGATATGTAATAAATAAATAAGGTATAGATGGTAAACAGGTAGATAATAATGTAAATATAGATGTAATGATCCTGTAGATGTAGATAAGTAGTAGTAGTATTATAGAGATAAGTATATATAAAGATTATTAATTAGATATTGTATATACTAGTTAATGTATAATAATAGTAATATATATTAGTAGTGTAAGGTATATGGACCGGTGTATAGTATTGTATAACTATAGAGTATTGTATAACTATAGAGTATTGTATAACTATAGAGTATTGTATAACTATAGAGTATTGTATAACTATAGAGTATTGTATAACTATAGAGTATATTGTATAGATTATGTAATGTATAGTAGTAATGTTGTATATAGTAATATCTGTATAGAGGTAGTAGTGTACTACTATGGTGTATTAATATTAGTAATGTAATAGTAAATATAGTGTAATAGTGATAATAAGGGTAAATATACTAAATATATAAATATACTAAATATACTAAATATACTAAATATACTAAATATACTAAATATACCGAATTAGACAGTTAACACATCTAGCTTACAAGTAAACCAAGAGTAATTGTATTATGAATTAAAAAGTATATAATTATCTGTAAATTGTAACCTTAGGAAGTTAATTCCAATCTAATTAAATATTTCATTAATAATCTAGTTAAGTTAGTAAGTGTATAGGTGTAAGATTAGTAAGGTAATGACCTGCAATTTGAAATAGGATTGCACTAAATGTATAAAATATAACTTCTATAATCTAATCGATATCGTACATTAAAGAGCTAAATTTGTAACTTAGAGATAAGTTATGTTTATCTTAATGAAAGCTTAATGTTATTAATCCTGATGTAAATAATTAAGTCTAGATCTGGTGCGAAGACAATCCCAGGGTGTGCTGTTTTGCTATCTATTAATTATCCAAAGTAAATGTATAGGTGTAAGACTAATAAGGTAATGAAAACAGAGGACTAGCCGAGCCAATATGAATAAAATTATGAATAATGCCGTGCAAGCAGAGATATCTTTGATTTGGTCAAATATCGTACATAACTATTTAACTGTAGAGTAATGGAATCTCTATATCAAGGCTAGATAAAGTTAGCCAGCGAGCTACGAAGTGTAAGTGAAGTAAATGTTAATCACTTAATATTTATGTAACGAAGTAAGATTGTACCCTTATTGAGTGAATAAAATGTTAATCTCTTAATATTTTAGTAACGGTATTAATATAATTAACTTAGTCCTTATTAATAAATGTTACCCTCGTAATATTTATGTTTAATGGGCTAAA